GCTGAGTACGGTCTTTGTGTTTTGCTGCCGTATCGTTTTCTGGCGGACGTGTACATAGTTTTGATTTTACGAAATTCGGGATTGCACTTTTAAAGAATGTAAATGAATAGAGATACGTCTTGAGACGTAATATATTATTATAATGTTGCCCGTTTCGATCTTTTTTCAAATTGTAATATTTTTTACTTGTTAGCTAAAATGAATTGGGTAGTCCTTAGGTCTCTCAATACTCAGATTCATTTTTATTACTTAAAAATCACAATAATGACATAAAATTATGCTATATAATATTCTAGTTGATTGATTAACGTGTGACGGGAGCAGGCTACGACGTTTTGTCGTGCGCTGCTCCCTCCTCTTCCTCTGCTCTCGGCTGGCCTAGCAATCGACGTTGGGTGCATTCTAGAGTGGCCTGATGCGGATTGTTTTCTTTCGGTGACCAATAATGATCAGCGAGTCTAGAATGGGGTCAGCGAAGGCAACAACAAGAGAAAAAAGGAGAGAACGAAGAAAAAGAGAGAGAGAAAAAATGAGATAAGGGACAAGTGTTGGTATTAGGTAATGGTTCGCGGCAGGTGTGCGACCGAATAGCAGTGTCGCGTGCCGCCGCGAAATTAGGTCAAGAGGGGATGGGTCAAGAGTGAAGAGAAGGAAGAGTTTAACAATAGTCAGAAAGGAAGACTCAAAGAGTGGAGTGAGGTACAGACAGTCGAACATTCAAGGAAAGGTAGTCGGAGAGCTATGGTTAAGGAGTTGAGTAAGAAGCAAGGAGCAGGAGTGAGTCAGTCAGCGGAGAACGTCAACGGCCAAGCGAGTGCGAGGAGCGAGTACAGTGGAGGTCGCCAGAGGAGAGCTGAATACAAGGAGCAAGAAGCCGAGGAGGAAGATGCTCAACAGTAAATGACAACGCGCCTGTGAGGAAGATGGCCCACCACTTCCCGCTTATCGAGTAGCCGCAGCAGTGCTCTTTAGAATTTTTTCTCTTTCTCTCTCTATCTCAAACGTGGCGATCGCCCTCGCCCGTAGCGGGTGCCGCAATATTTAAACATTCACCCGCCAACTATTGCGACGGTCCTTTTTGCCTGTATTGGCGTCATTGCTCCGGCGATATCACGCCAGGCAACGAGCTGACTGATTTTCGGGCTTCTTTGTACAGCAGGTTAAGTTATTGTGTAGAATATAGGATAAGATTTTGAATTTATGAGTTCTACACCGCTTTATTTTTCCTTTCTCTTACTCGAATCCTCTCTCAGTTGCTTAGAGCATCATTACCTTTCTTCTCCACCCTAAACAATTGGTAACGAGCTGTATTGTCTCATTACAAACGTACTATGTCTGTCCCAAAAGTATTCGACCTACGTTCATGTCTTCGTGCGGAGAGACTCAGGTGACCTCTGGAGGGTACAAACGTCACCAGCAACTTCTAACGTTCTCGTCAGTAACTCGAGATACCGATGAAACGCCTTAGTTCCCGCGCATCGTGTATTTGTTTACAACGACTTTTTTGCGTTCGTTGCAATTCGTTTATTACTAAAAATGACCAAATGAACCGAACAGCGAATTTACATAAAATTTTTCTTTAATCTAGGTAAAAGTTTGGTTATAATTCTGAAACGAAACAACAATCTTTGCAGTGGAAACTTCCACCCGAGCCTCGGTCGAAAAAAGCCCGTCAAAGTCAAAGTAACATCAAGTCAATGTTGATTATTTTTCTCGATTATAAAGCCGCTGCGTACCACGAATATACTCCGACAGGCCAGAAAATCAATAAAGAGTACTCTGTTGAAGTTTTGAAAAGTTTGTGTGAAGCAATTAGGAGAAAAAGACCGCAACTTTAGGAAACCGGTAACTGGTTTCTTCATCACGATAATTCTCCAGCGCATGTATCTAACCTTATGCAGCAGTATTTATTGAAATATAGTGTTGCGCAGCATAGCTCCTTGTGACTTATGGCTATATCCTTGATTGAAAATGACGCTTAAGGAACATCGATTCGACGATAAAGAGATGGTTGAGACTAATGCAACGGATGCACTAAAGGCAATTCCGAAGTCTGACTTTCAAGAGTCTTTAATAAGTGAAAATATCGATATGAGTGTCTTATTCAATCAAATGAAGACTACGTTGAAAGATGTGACCCCCAAATAACAAAGATTAAATCAAGCGCCGAGAAATAGAGGTAGGTCGGATATTTTTAGGACAGACCTTGTACTATCTATTAATGTAAATTAATCTTTAGATACTTTTTTTTGTATGATTCATACGTATTAATGGTATATATGTATGTACATATGTATATGTGTAGTATCGTTGTTCGTCGTTAATATTCACCGTTAAATACTTTGTTAAAAATCTGCTTCGAGTTTTCATTTGAAACCTGTGACACTAATGATAAAAATTTAACGCGTTTTGGGGAAACGTAATTCCCACAAGCCATGCAAGGGTCCATGTCCAAGCGCCGTATCACAAATTATTTAAAAAGGAGAAAGGTACGGGAGGTTCCTTCGCTCCTCTGAACGGTGACGATGGGCCTCGTCACTAAATTGTCGTTTTGAGCTTCGGATTGAGAGGAAAGGAATGACGGGCGTACACAATAATTACTCCCAATAACCGTTAACAATATTTATTCCTCTACGCTTAACAATAAAAGAGCGACGAATCGAGTTCACGCGTCGTCCTCGACGGCCGTGTGCCTGCGCTCGTGCAGACAATCGCACGAGGGCACGGTACAATAATTTGAGAGGATTACAAAGTATGGATTCGTTCTGTTCGTTAATTTCGCCGTGCTCGCAGAAGATTGCGAGCACTTCACCGACGCGTCGCGCACTCGCAAATAGTGGTGAAGGCTGCTGGCAGGAATCGCTGCTAGTGCTGCTGGTAGGAACTGCTGCTGGTACTGCTGGCAGGAAATGCTGCTAATTCTGTTGTTGTCAGGAAATACTGCAGGAACTGTTGGCAGGTCTATGGCAGGCTTGGATGGATTCTACGATGCTTCAAGGGTCGTTGGAAATCCTCTCCGTGCTGTACTCTGCTCGTCGTCCTCTGATTTCTTTATCTTGACCTGACTGTTTTGCTTTCTCTCACGTGCGCACGCTCGGCTGTCAAATCGATCAATCTATTCCAAGATCTCGGCTCGAACTCCTCCCCTAACCGTTTGCGCGCCGGCTCTAGCAACGCCGGCGGCTTCGTTCTCGCGAGCGGATCGCCGCGGGTCACTCGCGCTCGCTTACTTTCTACTCGCGATGCGTCAATCTCTCTCTCTTCTTCTTGTCGCAGCCCCTCTCGTTCCCAATTGGCTCCTAATGACGATGTCCTGCTCAGGTATTGGCCCTGAAATAAAGCGGTATGCGAGCATTGGTATCGGTTCGTAACTTTCAATTGCTCGCCAGAGCAACAGCGAAGGAGCGAGGCTGCGAGAGAGAGAGAGAGCAAGCCAGACAGGGCCGGCTATTCTAGCCAGGGTCCCGTCACAAACCGAACAAAAAGAAAAACTAAATATTCATGTTTTTTATTTGAATATTCACAATTTATAAAAAGGTAAAACTGCAACTTTCAACTCGTTTACTCAATATTGTTGTCTTTGCAACTTAAAACACTACCATGTTTGAATAACAAGATGTAATGTGACGCCATTGCTTGTGAGTATTGCTGTTTGCCAGAATTCGTCAAGCAATGGATCTCTGTCCAAACTTTTACAAAGGGTATTATGGCATTTGAAAATGACTGTTTTGATGTTTCGGATAAGCTCAAGTCATTTACTGGTGTTTTAATAACGCTACCCTGACGTCATCGACAAATCGGAACAGACCTTCAACTGCTGTATGCCTGATCTGTTTTGGGACTGTTGGACTAAATGGCAGATGTCTTCAGTTGTCACTCAAATGCTTTTTCAGTGGGAGACTCTAAAGTGGAGATAATCTACCAGGGATATAAATTTGAAGTCGAATACCTTCTGCAGTTCAGTTCCTTGTCAGCAGCTCTGCGAATTACGTCACTGCATGCATTAGAGAATCAAAGAATTCTCGTAACTATCGTACTAATTTCGAAATAAAAATGGGCGTTATAGCTATTTTCATCACGGAAGCAATTAAGACCAAAGAAGGTAAGGAGAGAGAAATGAAAAGAAGAGACTGAAAAATACGTAGAATTGACAGGCTGAGAAATACAGCATCCGAAAGAGGATCTTTCGGACAGGCTCTACTAAATTAATACTGAAAAGGAATCTCGGTTAGTATTAGGTATTGTAAGGAGGATTTTTTGTTACGTCTGTACACTCATACAATCATAAAGTGAAAGGATTATTTAATTAGTACACCAGGCTGGAGATTAGACGATAGCGTGCGCTGGCATTCAGGCTAAGTCTAGATAATTTGGACAATTTTATCAATAATTATATTCTATACTCTGTAAAAGATTTTCAACTTAGAATCACCATTTAAAATAAAAACGACATACATACATATACAAATATACCTACTCATATAAATTCGTAAAGAATCTAAAAAGAAGAATACTTATTAATGCTTCAAAGAAAATAAATAATTATAAAACATGGCTAATACTCGCGCTAGCGAAAGCATGTGTGTGCGTGCGTCTTCGTACTATCACTGTTCTCTGTCAAGTTAGTGACGAAGTATCGAGATGCTGCGTTAAATGTATATTACTATGAAAACTTGAAGAAAGTAAAAATTTAATATTATCAATTGCTCAATAAAGTAATCAATTAGTAATAACATTATTCTACAATAAAAAAATTTCATAACTTACAAATTCTGAATTGGATTTTTACAAAACTTGTATCAATAATCAAAAAAATTCAATGAAATATTATATGAGTATATAATTCTTTCACTGACAATAATAAGAGATAAATTATTTATAATATTTTTCTTGTCATCAATGATGCTGTAAACAAAATGTATGACGTAGAGAATTAAGTCTTCATGCATATTAGAGTTACATATTTTTTAATACTATTATGATAATTTGGTTTATCTTACCTTTAGCTTGCCTTCGACGTTTGCAATCAAAATCTAATCTACGCCCTTGTAATTTCTTTCGATGATGCTAAGAAACAAATATTAAATCACATAAGCTTTATATATATTAAAATATTATATGCTAATGTAATACATAAACCAAATCATAATATTTATATAAGTTCTTTTCTTTAGATGTAGATTCAAATTGCTACATATAGTTAATGTATTAGATCGTGTAGTTTTCAATTATACTTCAATAGAGAATATTTATCAATTATTACTGACGATGATTTATTGGTGAATTTTTATTAATCCAACATATCTAATATTATGTAGATGGTAATTATAAAATGAAACACACGTAGGAGTATTTCAAATATTATAATCTAAAAGAAGTTTCATTATTATACAATAAATTATCCATCGACATATTATGACAATGTTCAACTTCTATATTTAAATGTGAAAATATCCATAAAATATTGTGGTATAGCATATTATGGTTGCAATAGGTATTAATATTATAAATATACAAGATAGTATTTTAAGACCTTACAAATTAAGCGCTACCAATGAGTGTTTACTAATTGAGTATTGAAAAGACACATTGTACAGGGTGTCCCATTTAAAGGAACGACCCCAAAATTTTCTACGGTTGGCATTCTACAAAAAAATTGTTCAGACAGAAGTTATTTGGGACAATAAGGGACACCTTTCCCGGAAATCGGATTTGACCTTGAGATTTATTTTCAAGGTCATTCGAAGTTCAAAGTCATTTTTTGAATAGGAACCTATAATTTTTATCCCGGATTCGGAAAGAGCGAGAAATTCTACGTTCAAATAAGGTATTATGTGTGGAGTGCGGTTACCCCCCCCCGCGTAAAATCATGTAGGGGTCAAATTTATTATTTTCTTCATCTATGCACAGGAATGATCGGGCAAGGGTAAGATTAATTGTAACAACCCAAAAACTCAAATAACCCAATAAACCAACCCCAATAACCAAATAACCAAGTTCGTGGTCGATGTCTCTCTCTTCGTTCAATGATTCCGATTCTCATGTGGTTTGTGTACTGAAGCCTCCCTGGGTAATTTTGACGGTCAAGGCCGATATCGTGCTGTAGCAAGATATTACCGTCTACATATTGGGTTGGGGGGGGGGGGGGGGGGCAAGATATTACCAGCAAGATGTTGGGTTATTACAATTAATCTTACACTTGCCCGATCACCCCAGTGCATAGATGAAGAAAATAATAAATTTGACCCTTACATAACCTTACGGGGGTTAACCGCACCCATTTTCAATGGCTTAATTATTGTATTTATTTAATATTTATAATGGCTTAATGTTACTCTTAATAACCACAATTTAATCCATATTTGTCCTAAATACTTTAGAAGATTAATGAAAAAAATTATTCTGAAATCTTTTAGATAATGTTTAGCGGTTAATGAAAAATTACTTCGAAGTTTCTTAGATGATATTAGCTTATCTATTTCAACGAAGTTATGGTTATCTTAATATCGTTCGATTAGGTGTTACGTAATGTGCACACGATTGTTACGTAAATTTGAGATGTTAATTTGAATTTCAGTAAGAATATTAACCCATAGTGTTTGAGAAAATGATACAAAAACATAATAAGATCAAGTCGATGGTTGAAAACTTGGCTAGTTTATTTCAATTATAAGAAGGTAAAACGGATCACTAAACTGCATTCTTATTACAGACAAGATATATTATTAAACTGCCCCGTCTTAATTAATTATATAATTGTATAAAAGGATAAAATTATATTATTAATTGTATAAAAGGAAGGAAAAATCAATTAATGTTTTAATTATATTAAAAAACATTATTGGATTTGAAAAAAGTTCTTTTAGCTACACACATTTTGACTTTCCCATTTACGGATTTACGTTTGATTTTATACAGTATGTCTTACATAAAGTAGGGGGTATTTTTTTAAAAATGTTGTAGCAACTTTAAAAATAAAGTAACAATGCTAAATTCTATTTAATGATCTTCCCTTCTGTAGGTAAATTTAGATTTAAGATAAGGATTGATATATTTTATTTGAAAAAATTATTTTTTGAATCAAACGTCGGAGTCTATAAGAGATCATCGCAATTGATAATCGAATCAATTACAAATCGATTTATCTGTCGTAGAGTTGATTTCTGATTGGTTTTTCAATAAAGTAATTTGAAATAGTTTGAAAAGCGCATAAATAGATAGATAGATGAATAACGCATAAGAAAGATAGAATACTAAGATTTATGCGTTTGGTTGTTTCGTTTGTAAACAGACCAACTGGCGGTAGCTTGCGCATGGTTATCGAAAAACATCCGGGTACCGGTTTTCTGTACGGCAATAGTTTTCCCTCATTTTAGTTCGCGACCACGATCATTAGGACGAAGTCCATGTAGGGATCGGTAACCTGCACGACCTCACATGCATGCATGTATTGCCAGAACATGAGAGAGAGAGAGAGAGAGAGAGAGAGAATGCACTGAACACCAACCTCTAACCGTTGATAACTGTTGATGTTCTCTGCTGCGCCAACTACTGTTGCTGCTGAAAGTGCTGGTTTCTACTAGTTGATGCTGCTACTCTTGTTACCGTGGTCACTTTGCAGCTGACAATTGCTGCAGCCTTTCTTTCAGCTGCAGGTCGCTTTGTCCCCTCTGATCTAAAATTGTTTAAGTTACTAAAAACAAAATCAACCAAAATATACTCCACATACCAAGCGTGTGTATAATAAAACAAAAATTTCGTTAAGTCATGCGCCAAAACGAAACCGAAAATACTACAAAAACATATCAGCGACGCTCACTCTTCACCGATTCAATCAAAACTGATTGTGTGTTCAATAATTTTCGAGGCGCGCACTGGTAACTATCATCTCTCTCTCTCTCTCTCTCTCTCTCTCTCTCTCTCTCTCTCTCTCTCTCTCTCTCTCTTTGCGCGATATAATGAAGGCGAAGCGTGGCATGCCCCGTGCTTGCATTACGACTGAGGACCTAGACAAGGACCTTCTCGGGCCGGAGTTGTCTGCCAAGGTGCCACGGAGGAAATTATTTATTAATGAACTCCTGCCCCAAGCTCAATTCAAATCATTCCTAACCCTGAAGCCGGTAGCAAAGGGGCTTGGCTTCAGGTATGTGTGGCACAGTGGTGGGAGATTTCTGGTCCGACGAAGGACAGGAGAGAGGGCGTACGCGTTCGAGACGGCAGCGGATCTGCAGGCGATTAGGTCGGCGTGGGAGTCGACTGGCGGATCGCGGTCGTCAGCGGAGTTGAGCACCGACTCGGGGGGCGCTACGCCATCGGGAGGAGAGAGCATGCGGCGGATCAGGGAGGGCACTGATGCCAACTCGCAATTGGCATGACTCGGGACGGCGAGCACCAAAGATGTTGCATGTCGCGGTGGTTTCCTCAGGGCTGGGTTTCTCAACATTAACTCGCTTAGAGCGCGTGTTGAGAGGCTTCGTCTGTTCCTGGCTGGGGATGCCATCCATCATGTTTTTGGGGTTGCTGAGATCTGGCTGGGACTTGTGGTTGATGATCACATCATACGGGTTCCGGGGTACTCGGTGATAAGAAGCGATCGCAACATTAATGGGGGCAGTGTTGCCCTCTTCATACGCGAGGAATTTAAAATTACAAGGCTGGCTTCATCTGCCACTCAAGGGCCTGGGAAACCGGGAATACCAGAGTACCTGTTTTGCAGTATTGAGACGGGCAATTCTCCTCCGGTGCTTATCGGCGTCATCTATCGCCCGCCTAAGGTGCCTCTGCAGCAGGGCTCGGATCTTTTTGAGGTGTTGAGGGATCTCTGTGGTGATTTCAGTCATAAGATCATCATGGGTGATCTCAATGCCGATATGAGTTCGGGCTCGGATGATGCTCTCTCCATCTCGCGTTTGGGTGGGGAGTTGTCGCTGAGTTTGGTTCGTCATGGCCCGACTCATCACGTGGGTGATTCCCACACATGGATTGATGTCATGCTGACCGACGCATGCAACACGATCATGGACCAGAAGAACGAATTGCTCCCCGAATTCGGTAAGCACGCGGTTATAGAGGTCACGATTGACATCCGTGTGCCTTCTCCTTCGGCGGGTAGCTTTACCTATCGCAGCTTTCGTGGCATTCACCCGGATTTGCTTTTAGACTTCTTGACACGCTGCGATTGGGCATCTGTTGGCGCTGCTGAGTCGGATTTGGAGGGAGCGCTGGAATGCCTCAACCATAATTTAACTGAGGCCATAAATAAATTTGCACCTGAGAAGACAATATGCCTTAGGAAAAAGTATGCTCCTTGGTTTGGTCCAGAGCTGAGGAGGCTTGTCGACAGACGTGATGCCTCGTGAAGACGCTATAAGCGTACTGGGCGGGCGGATGTCTTAGAGGAGTCTCTTAGGCTTAGTAGGGAGGTCGAGGTTCGTTTGGAACAGGAGCGCGTTAATTTCCTTCAAAATCATCTGTCTAGCGCTCTTGATGAAGGTAAAAATATTTGGAAGGAAATGCGGAACCTCGGCCTCTTGCCAGGGGCGGGTGGGGATGGCCTTCATGGATATACCTTGGACGAGCTGAATGACCACTTCGCTGGGGTTTCGGCCTCGCCGCTTGAGGATATAGATAGTGGGATGATTGGAGTTGATGTCGCGGATGAGCGAGGCTTTACCTTCAAACCTGTTGGCATTAATGACGTCATCCTAGCTGTCTCCCATTTTACATCACAAGCGAGCGGCGTGGACGGGATTCCCCGTGGGGTGGTGGTGAAGGCTCTTCCAGTCATAGGTGAGCACCTGAGGTCAATATTTAATTCCTCATTTGCTAAGGGGGAGTTCCCGGGAGCCTGGAAGCGGGCACAGCTGATTGCCCTGAGGAAAAACAACACCCCTTCCTCGGCCTCGGACTTTCGTCCGATAGCTTTGCTTTGCTTTCTTTCAAAGGTTCTCGAGAAGCTTGCCCATGACCAGATCATGGAGTATCTGAATAGAGAAAATCTTTTTGATCCCCTCCAGGCCGGCTTTAGGCGGGGCCACAGTACTCAGACAGCGTTATTAAAGTTGACG